TCAGGCCACATCAATTGAAATTCATCCAACAATGCTGGACCAGATGGGGCTCCGGACACCTCTCGTGATGGAACCTTATCAACTGTGGAGTCCAGCTCGTGATGAATCTGCAATTTTCTCCTTAACGTGCTGGGCAAAGGCGTCACAACGAGCTAGCAATGGTGTCACAGGATCTTTTTTTAGGGCCAGGATGTATTAGCCCATGCACCACTTGAAAAAAGCTCTGCTAGACAGCACCGAGAGGAGGCAATGGAAGCTGAGAAGAATTTATTCTTCACCGCCCTCACTGCCACAGCATAGGCGCGATAATGAGCACATAAGGGTGTTCAGATTCATCCAGTGATTTCCTCCACCTGCACTCTAATCGTCTCCCAGCCCGCTTCATCCCCATAATTCAGGTGTTTACCATGGAGATGAACAGGCTCTGCCCGGCAGGAGAGGATCTGTAGGAGTAATTGTGTCGGTTGCTCTGGTCACTTCTCCATTCCACAAATCAAGCAGAGCATCAACAGGAGCACCAGCTTTATCAACCAGAAAATCCCCCAGAGCCCTCAGGAACCCATCAGGATCCATCTGGTTCCAAGGGCAGACCATGTTAATGGGATCCGCACCCTTACAGAGGGAAAGGCCAGCCCCAAGCTCAAACCTCACGAGAAAGTGATCTGACCACGACAAAGGAGTTTCTCACTTCCAGATCACCCTTTTCCTGCCCCATCGAGAAGATCAGGTCCAGAGTGTGACCCCCTCATTCATGGCTTGGGCCAACGACATGTGGAGACAGCCCCGTGGCCATCATGGAGGCCATGAAGCCCTGAGCTGCCCCAGTCAGAACAGTCTCGGCATGGAGATTGGAGCCTCCCAGATCAACATTCTGGGGGTCCTCAACACCAGGTCCGAGACGATCTCTGTCAGCTCAGGCAGTTACCTGAATCCCTAATCTGTCTCGATCACCCACCACCAGGTACAAATACTCTAGGCCTAGTCTCAAGGAGATTGAAAGGCCCGTGAGGGATTCTGCAGCTTGATGCACCAGAGCAACCCCCCATAGGGCGTGACTGGGGCTGAATCAGATACCCAGGCGGGCACAGTTGAGTAAGGGGTACATCTCCATTCTCTCCTGCCCAAGTCTCTGTAATGCAAGCCAGCTTGGCCCCCTCCCCCACAATTAAATCAAGGCTGAGGAATGTCTTACTATGGACCGACCTGGCATTCAGCAACAGCATTGTCAGGCCCGAGGGGTGGTTAATAAAGCTACCCAGAACCCCCCGGTTGGGGAAATAACCAGAAGGGGGGACAGATACCAAGCATCTGTCCTTCCTTCTTCTATGATGACATCTTAGTCCCCCAACACCATATCTTCCCCTGCCCATTACCACCCCAATGGTGGCACCCACATGCTCCCCAGGCAAACCCATAATCAATTAAAACCAAGAGTACAATCAACTCAGTCATGGTATGAATTAGGATTAAAATTATGTTAAAACCCTCCAACCCACTCAACAACAAAAACACAAAGTCCCTGGCCCAGCTAGTCCCACTGGCCCCAAACAGCTTAGCGCCCTTCAGTTACCGGCCGGCAAGTTAAGCACCACGCCCCTCCTTTGCAATCAAACTCCAGTCCTGGCACAACAGCCACCAATGCCGAGGGGGAAGTGAGGGCAGGGTCCACAGAGGCCTTGCTGGAGGCAAGATTGAGGAGCTACGGACAGCAAGCAGCAGCCACAGCCACAGCCACAGCAGCATCCCCAGCCTTGCGGCAGCCCATCAGCAGCAACAGCAGGGTACGTGTCATCTGTGGCGGGAGTTAGCCAGCGAAGCAGAGGGCAGTGGTGGAGCCAGTGTGATGGTGCCCACTCCCACTCCACTATCAAGAAACACTGAATGCTGGCTTGCCTGACATCTGAAAAGAGATGGCAACCGAGAAATACCGTCTCCACATTCCAGCATCCTTGGCTCTCCTCTCCAAGGGTAAAGGAGGGGAAGTGGTTCCTATTAAAAATTTTCAGCTATGGAAGTTCTCAGCTATGAATCAAGGTGCAGAGCAAAAATGTATGCTGCACAGAGATGATGAAGAAGAAAAAATACATATACTAACTTCACATTAACTAGCTGTGACCGCCAAGGAAACAGATTTCGGGCTCATAATAAAAGGCAAACTATCAAGTGTCAAATCAATTTGCTTCAATAAAGAAAATGTCAATTTTGAACAAAGGAATTCTTAAGAAATAGAACTATAAGTAACAGCTAATCAACATAATAGAAAATGCTGCACATAATTCTTTAAAATTCTGTATATAATTCTGACTGCCCTATCTGAAAAAGCATATCCTGGAGCCAAAGTGGCACAGCTGGTAAAAAAAAAAAAAGTGAAGAAACTATTATGACACTCTTCTTGTTCAGATCATTTTCTTGTTTTACACTAGCTGTTGGCTCAAACCATGGTGGGAGTGAAGGAGCACTTAAAATGGTCTGCTCATGTGCCTGATAGATCCAAATGGTTTCCTGAATACACTTTAGGAATTTCCTGCTTCATCTATCAGTGATACTGTTGAAGCCCAGGCTGATTCACAGAATATGGGAATGGCCAGAGCAATTGGTATTATTACCCATGTGCCCTCTCCCATGTAGTAAAGCCCATCTTTTCCTTTGTTTGTAGGGAGCTCAGGGTAATGAAACAGAAAGCTAGAGCACTGGAGGAAAGTTTGGAACAAATCTGATCAAATGTGTACTAGAACTCTGTTGGAGACCATCTCTGTAGTTGTAACTCACAGGTAAAATCATACAAGGTAATAACAAAAAGGTGATGTTCTGGGACTATTGTTCAACATCCCACCCATTGGACTATGTTTCCCCCACAGGATTCTTTACTATCACCTATATTGTTTACCATGTACATTAAACTACTTGGAAGAGGTCATCTGGAATTCTGGAAGCCTTGAGTTTACAAGAGCTGAGCAAGGCTATCAAGGACAGAATACTCTGAAGGACATAGGGTAATGTAAGACAAAGATGACTTGACAACATATAACAACAAATCTTGTGCAAGGATCTTTGTACTTTATTCCATCAATTTTTTTTGTGGTGGCAACTGGGAGCAGGTGAAATAAAAATGACAAGTCTAGATTTCTAAATGAAAACAAGAAAATCTCACTTGAATTAATTTATGATATAAGATTTAATTATTTAAATTTAGTTTAGTTTTACTTAGTTTAATTTTATTTAATTAAGAAGCTGAAACTAACTTGTAGAACTGTACTTGCTCTGGAATATTATTTAAAAGCATAATAAATCAATTATATTCAGAAATTTTTGCAAATGTGATAGTAAATGATGGTATATCAGAGTAATTATCCTTGGGCTGGGGTACTAGACAATGATGTGCCCTTTCCCCAATATTATTTGCTTTAGTTATATTATTATTAGCAAACAGTATTAGGAATGATATGATAAGCAGTACTGTTTCTGAGAATGAAATTAAGATTACTTTATTTGCTGATGATACTTTGTTAACAATAAAGAATTCCATATGAAGTTATGGTGGACCAGGCTGAAATACATTTAGAAGAATTTGAAGAGATACTGGGCTTACAGATAAACTGGGATAAATCAGAGATGATATTCTTCTGTGACAAAGAAGAGAAGGAAAAAATTAGGAGTAAATTTAAAGTTAAAATATGTAGAGTTATTAAGTATTCACATATAAATATTACTAAAATTTAGAATGTTAAAAATTATGATAAATTGAAACATGAAATAAAAGAGAAAATGAATGTATTTAGAAAGATTGGTAATAATCATAATTGTTGTTGCTAGTTGCAAAGTCTTGTCCAACCCATTGAGACCCCATGGACAACATTCCTCCAGGCCCTCCTGTCCTCAACCATCCCCCAAAGTCCACTTAAACTCACACCAACTGCTTCAATGACTCCATCTAGCCACCTCATTCTCTGCCATCCCCTTCTTCTTTTGCCATCTATTGTTCCCAGCATTAGGCTCTTCTCCAGGGAGTCCTTCCTTCTCATTAGCTGGCCAAAGTATTTGAGTTTCATCTTCAGTATCTGGCCTTCTAAAGAGAAGTCAAGGTTGATCACCTCTGCGACTGACTGGTTTGATCTCCTTGCAGTCCAAGGGACTCGCAGGAGTCTTCTCCAGCACCACAGTTCAAAGGCCTCAGTTCTTCGGTGCTCAGCCATCCTTATGGTCCAGCTTTCACAGCCATACATTGCAACTGGAAAAACTATAGCCTTGACTATATGCACTTTAGTTGGCAGGGTGATGTCAGTGCTTTTTAGTATGCTGTCTAGATTTGCCACAGCTTTCCTCCCAAGGAGAAAGCGCCTTTTAATTTCTTGGCTGCAGTCACCGTCTGTGGTGATCTTGGAGCCCAAGAAAATAAAATCTGTCGACTACCTCCATTTCTTCCCCATCTATTTGCCAGGAAGTGGTATGACTGGATTCTTGATGTTGAGTTTCAAGCCGACTTTAATAATCATAATAGCAATATTTAAATATTAAATAGCAATATAGTAGAATAGCAATTTTTAAAATATAGTGTTTCCTAAGATATATTTCTTGGTTGTGGTGTTACTGGTTAAAATAATATATAAAGATTTGAAAGACTGGCAAGATATGGTTAACAAGTTTTGTAATGGGAATAAAAAAGTAAGGATAAATTTTAAAAGATGGAATAGGTCAGAAAAGATGGGGGATTATGTTTTCCTAATGTAAAGTTATACATGCAGCAAATCAAGTAAAGCACATACTTGATACAGGTGGTGTTCTTCCCTACAATTTATCATATATATCTTTCCAGCTATCTTGTACATTACCCACAGTTTGAGAATCAATGCTATATGCACAACAGCACACACTAATGTGACACTATGTCACATGTTAGTCCTGTCCAGAGGCATGTTTGCCAGAAATACAAGCTCCCCAATTATTCCAACATTTTTTTCTGCCAGTTTTAACTTTAAAAAACAGTTAAAACCATAACTTACCATCTTTACAGGTCTTTTCATTATCAAGAAGTTTAACACCTGTGGGACATGCACACTGATAGGAGGGCTTGACAGGAGACATCAAGCATAAGTGAGAACAACCACCATTATCGGTTCCACATGGGTTTGTAGCTGTCAAAATACAGAGATACACATATCAGTTCTCGGATTGTTATACGATTACCTTGTACATCACAAGACACAGATATTTTGGATGAAAATATATGCCAGAAAGCCAATAAAAAGGAGTAAAAGGGACTCTATAATATGGTAATAGGATAATTGCATGTGTATACATGTATGGGAATGGAATACTGCTCCTAAGAAAGCATATATACAAAGAAGAAAAGAGTAACATGCTACTTCCAAAATTAAAAACCTTGTGAAGAGATCAATTTGTGAGCCATTCAACACAGCTTCTTGTGAAACACCATTTAAATCATTAAACATTACAAAATCTTTCCTTTATATTCAAAACAATTGACTGGCAAACAGCCAAATCTCCATTGTGCGAAGGCACAGTACATTGGCATCTCACAAAAGAGAATTAAAAATGTAAAGGCCTAGCCAAAGAAGCAACTACTACACTATAAGCAAGGATAGAAAAAGGCTAAATTAAGTCAATACACTAAGCCATGTTGTATTACTTTAGAACTCACGGCATAGATTACAGCAACAAATACAGAGGCCCATTATCATTTTGAACTGATTATCTGTTTTTGTCTGCCATATAATCAGTGCTCCCATCTCTATCCTCCAAAGGCAGAACAAATGTAATAACTATGGCTTGGTAATTAAAAATATAGTTTTCATGGCTCAAAAACCCATTCAAACTAGTGGAAAAGTACTACAGTTAATACCCAATCATAGGTTAAATTCCTTAATCATGGCTTACTGTGTTATCAGAAGTCAGTGTTTCTTAGAATATAATTCCAAATAATTGCTTTATAGATAGTTACAGGGAAAGTATCTAACACTCTCTCTTCTACCCTACCAAGAAAATAAGGAACTCTACACTCATTCTCAACTTGGAACTGGCAGTGGAAAAGACCAAGAGTACTTACCACTGGGCTGCCGCTGTTGGCTGAACACATGGATATCCATAGGAGAAAAGATATTGGAATGTATTTCTCGTAGATTCTCCCCAGTATATTTGTTGCAGGCCAAGACCGAGCGAGTAGTCCAGTCAGTCCAGTACAGAGTATCCCCAAATAATGTCAGAGCAAAGGGATGTGGAAGGGATCCTTTAATAACAGCTTCCCTAGAAATAGAAAGCAAATTAAAAGTGTAAGTTTAATCTATAAGACATTGGGAAAGAAATCAGACTCCTGCCAACTACTTTTTCAAAAAAAAAAAAAAGGAAAAAGAATATCTGAACTGTTAAGTTCATGGCCCTTATTTTTAATTGGAGGGAACTTATTTGTCCCTAAATAAGTTTATGGAAACTAAATATTTTATTTAAAGTAATTCTCATATAGGATTTTTGCACCTGAAGCCTGTGTAATGCTCAAACTAATTCAGAGACTCAGTTATTATTATTATTATTATTATTATTATTATTATTATTATTATTATTATTACATTTCTATGCCGCCCCTTGCCGAAACTTCGGGGCGGCTTATATGTTCATATGTAACCCCTGACTGACCATGCACAACTTGAAGTGAGTGAGTGTGCTGTCTTCCATGCACTTCTCACTTCTGATTTAATCAAGAACCTGTAATTGATCATGTTGTAGGTTGCTGAATATGACATGTGAACCAAGCAAGCTGGATTCTTTACTTGCACAACGGATAATTTGTGGTTTGTTGTAGAGCCAACCACTGGGTCGCTTAGCCCTAACAAGCTCTTCCACCAATACAACCAACTACATATGACTCAGTCAAACAAAGGTTACTGATTAAAAGCAGGAGTCTTTACATTTATAGTAATATGCTAGATAAATAAAACATCTGATAAGAAAAAACTGTCTTATCCCAATACCTCACTAAAGAAAATTCAAAAGGATAAACAGTACACTTTCAATGCTTTATGTTTTCACAAAGAATACAGGCAACAAAATGTCCTTAAAAAATGTTCTAGTATTAACGTCCTCATAGCCCAGTGTTGTACCTATTCCCAAACAGACTTTCTCAGCTCTGTAACTTCTAATCATAACAAAATTTCTTCCCTACCACACTAATTTCAATTACATAAGTAATATACAAATAGATGGGGTTGGTAAGGTACACCAACTATGCACTGCAAAAGTGACGCAAAATCAGAAAAATTCAGCAAGTATTTTGATATTTTATATTCCAGGAAAGAAACCCTCTGCTATTAAATATATATAAATCACTTGCCAATTGATGCATTGACACATAATGTCAAGCCACACTGGACACAGTATAGGCAGGGTTTGTTGTTCTGTGTGAATTCAGCATCAATGGTGGAATGCAGTCGGTTTGGTCGCCATGAAACCGCATGGAGAATCAACAGTCTTGTTTTAAGTTTTCTGTGTTTTACCATTGCATGTTGTTGCATGTGACTTAAGTTATGATGTTTGTGTGTGGTTTCCGTGTTTCCTCCAGCAAGTTTAGAAGCAAAAGTGGCCACATCTGCAACAGGCACACCAGCATCCACTTTTTAACTAACCTGTTCTAATTAGCAACTGCACTCCCTATCTTCCCTGCTGGTGCATGCTCTTTTCAGCAGCAAGGCAGCACAATGTGATGTGCTCCAGGATCAGCAACTGTGGGGGGCTAATGAAATACATGCCACCATCTGGAGGAAAGATGGAGATGCATGGAAACCATAAACACATAGAAGCTATGTGAATGTGTGAACACAGGAGAGACAGTAAGATGCCATGCCGCCCAGTTACTGTTTAGTGCTATGTGTGAATACACAGAGTCACTAGCATGCTTTCAGCTCTAGCATTACTATTGTTATTATTATTGCATCTCCAGCAGGAGCAAACTTTAACATTTTTTCAAAAGCTTGCCTTTATGCCTGAACACAAATTGCAACCATTTCTTGAATGCAATTATCACAAAAGTAAAGAGACTGCAGGGCACCTAAATGTCTAACAGTTGCTTACATAACATTCCCCTACCCCACCCCTGTGTTACAGTGGCATCTAAAGCCCGTCTCATTAATTTAAAAAAATGTCCTTGTAATGTGTTAACTTATTAATTAGGGCTGTTGCTGGAGGCTAAAATATGAACATTAATTCACACATGATATTCCTTAGCAGACAAATGAAGTTCTGAATTTCAGTCCTGTTAAATTACTTTAACAAAGTGAACCTGTTTACTTCAATAAGGAAAAAAAAAACCTTTGAAATAAAGGCTGGATTCATACAACATGGCAAACAACCATTTGCTGTTTCCATGGTGTACTGATTTTTGCCTAAATTTCTCAGTCAGAAAATTATGTGATTACCTGGGCAGAACAGTTTCTGTATTTCCCCCACCATGCATTTCAGCAGTCCCTACAAGTGAAGTCCTGTCCTTTCCCTATTCTTGCCTACCGAGTGCATAGCCTCCTCCTGACTGGTCCACTACAGTCCAGAGGGAGGTTTCCTTTTTTCCTCCCAAATGTACCTGCATATCTGTGGTACTTCCCAGCCAATCCAACCCCCATAAAGATTTTTATTAAATGAAAATAAGCAATTGGCAAAAAGAACAATACAGAGGGGTATTGGGTTGAATACCAGAAGCTGAGCCATTGTTTTAGCCATTTTCATTGGTTTAATTGCCACAAAAATGGCCAGTAACTGTCCGGGTATAGGGAGCTCATGTTACCCCATGAACAGATGCCCAAAAGGTAACACTTCTCTAACAGGAGACAACATCAAACATAAAGGCTCTATGTTGTTGAGCAGTCTTTGGCCATCAGCCTTAGTGTACCTATTGCCTGAACCACTCTCTTCCACAATTCCACTGGGAGGCAATCTGCCATATTTAGTTGGCCCTGCATAGTAAATGCCTAAAAACACCAGCAGGCATTTGACATGTCCCTTACCCAAACAGAAAAGGCAGAGAGTGCACCTCTGTCAACAGAATTTCATCTTGCACTTTACATATTTACAAAATAGTGCCTTAAGGGCCATACAGCTGAAAAGGGCTCAACAATTGGGGTGCGGGGGTGGCTTCAGCTTCAGGAAAGAAAACACAGAATAAAAAAGCAGGAGCTCCATAAGATACAGTCAAGGAGGCAACTCAGGTTACCTGCAACTATCATTGTTTGAGTGGCCACCTGTGCAAATACACATTTGGCTCTGCACCTGCATGGAGTCTCTTGTTGGAAAGATTTTACAGCTAAGCATTCAATTGGGTGGGAGCCCTTCCCCTTCCTGTTTCAGGTTCCCACAAGAGGGGCTCTCACCCATTGTGCCATAAGTCTCACTGCCATAAGTCCCAGGACTGAGGGTTGTACCACCCTGCTCTGCCCCCTGTGTGCCCTTGGGACAGGGACAACACCAAGTGGGTCCAGTGGGTAGGTTTTGTTTTCTGAAAATGAAAGGCCAGAAATAAAAGTGCTACTCAGTACATATCAAAGAGCAACACCCAGAGTATAAAATACCCTGCAAAGAAGGGAACCGTGAACTTGGAAGATAAACATGGACTCCTTGCCATGCTTCTCTTGCAAAACACGCACATGCAGACACACATCTAAAATTCATCAGCCCATTCAATAACTTTTTCTGGAACATGCCACCTTTATGACAGATAGTTCTGAATAAAAAGAAAGCAACTCATTATTTATTCCAATTTGATGTTCAAACATCCTAGAATATTTGTCTTTTTGATTCATGTAAAAGAGAGAGCCAAGAATCTGGCTGCCTTCTTTGGCCCCAATCCTAGCATAGAAATCACAGTGGGAGCCCTTAAACAACAAACAGCCCTGGGAGAACAATGTCCTGGTTGAGGTGGAAAGCCAACACAGCCATGAAAAGTAACTTTGGGTCTGGTGGGAGCACTGCTTTGACTCTGTGGAAGGTGAGGTAGGAAGGGTCTACCCAGAGGGAACAGAGCTTGATGGCACGTCTGGCTTATGTGATGGCCAGCTGGAAGGCAACCTTCCAGGAAAGGAGATGGAGATCAACCATGGCCAGTGGTTCAAAGTTTTCTTGTCAGTGTCTGCAGCATGACTGAAAGGTTCTGGTGTGAAGGAATGGGGGGGGGGGCAGGTGGTGGTTAAAGGTCCCTGAGGAACCAGTGCGATAGGGGTTCAGCATCAGGGAGAGGGGCACACTACTTATGGTACCAAGAGGCAAGAAAGGCAGGTTTCCTTACCTCTAACAGTTCCTCGAGTGGTCCATTTGTGCATTTACACATGTGGGCTCTGCATGCATGCATGAGGCTCTTTTGGGAAGATTCCAGAGCTAATTAATTAGTATTTGGCAGGAGCCAGGCAACAGACTCACCCAGCATGAATGCAGGGCTCCCGCTGAGTCATCAATTCTGAGTGTGAGACTGCCATAGAAATAACATCTGAATCAAAGACGCATCAACCCCCTGCCAAAAAATATGTACAAGACACCAGCAGGGATGGCGGGTGGGTATGCGTGAATACACAGATGACCACTCAAAGAATGACAGTTACAGGTAAGGAAACCTGCCTTTATTCTTCATAGTCTCTGTGCATCAAACATGTGGGTGACTGGAAAACTTACCTCGGGGAAGCGGGGAGTGTTGCTCAGCAGAGGAGAGAAGAGAGGACAGTTCTGCCAAACGCGCAGCCCTTTCTAGCTTGAACATTGAGATGATAATGGCAAATGAAGGTTAAAGGGTCTGACAATGTCACGGTAAGAGACACTCCCACATACAGGACTGTGGAGGTTGAGGTAGTTCTGGTAGAATGTACTCTAACAGAGCCAGACACATGGAGACCAGAGAGTTTATAGGCCAAAAATATAGTGTGGAGTATCCATTTAGAGATCCTTTGTACGGAAATAGGTCTTTTCCAGTGTGGGCCACCATAAAGTCTCTGAGATTGTCAGATGGATTGAGTTCTTGATTTGCAGAAAGCTAAAGTCCTATGGACATCTACAGAATCGAGAGCCAGCTCTATGGGGTTAGAAGGGCTTTGAAAGAATACTGGTAGGACAATGGTCTCATTCATGTGGAAGAGATGATGGAAGAGGGTCAGGGCAAAGTATAACCTTGTCCTTATGAAAAGTGATATAAGGAGGGTCAATTCGAAGAGCTGTGAGTTCACTGGCTCAATGAGTGGAGGTAATAGCTATCAAAAAGGTGGTTTTCCAGGAGAGGAGGC